CGCCCCCGCCCAAAGCATTCTATTCATCCAGCACCAACAGCAAAGCCGCTGACTGAAGCTGGTTCCTAACCCTCCCCGTGCCTGGGCTGGGCACCCGTACTTCAAACTCACACAGGGCGAGTCTGTCCCTGCCTGCAGACTCCCTCCCCACTCTCGGTACTGGGGGCTGAGCCGCCCAGCTGCCCTAATCACACCCGCACTGCTGAGTGGGCTTTTTCTGTGGCTGCCCCTCACCCCTCATGGACTCCTGGGAACGGCAGGAGCACAGCACTGTCACAGCTCCCAGCTCCCTGACCAGCTGTCCCTCAACTGCAGGGGAGGGGCCGCCCAGGTCTGACAGATTCATCCATGATCGTGACATGGTCTGGCTGCAGCAGGCAGACGGTGAGTGGCCCTTACTTTTTCTGCAACACCGTGGGGACCATAGGTCCTAGGACAACCCTGGGTACCCGTGTCCTCAACAGGGCCACCCGTGGTCACCTTTCCCTGACTGCCCCAGGGCCCAGGTCTCAGCTTCCTTTCTCCCCAGTGGTGGTGGCTGAGGTGACACAACCTTCCCTGGGGGTCGGCTATGAGCTGGGCCGGGCTGTGGCCCTCAACAAGCCAGTGTTGTGCCTCTTCCGCCCACAGTCTGGCCGAGGTGAGCACTTGGCCTTCGGTGGCCCCCAGGGCTCAGGGCAGGAGCAAGGAGTGTGGGAGGGAGGCAGCCTCACAAACGTCACTGTCCACCCTCCCCAGTGCTTTCTGCCATGATCCGGGGAGCCGAGGATGGCTCACGGTTCCAGGTGTGGGACTACGACGAGGGACAGCTGGAGGCGCTGCTGAACCAATACTTTGAGGCTGGTGACTCTGAGCAGGGATCTGCAGCCAGGGACCAGGGGCCTGTCTAACCCACTGCCTCGGATCCTTCCCATCCCTGCCTCTTAGCCCTGAGAGCGAATTAAAAAATTCATTTAAAATTCTAACTGTATGTCTGTACCATGGTGGGGTGGGGCAGTCCTCAGTAATGTCCTTTTCCCACCCCACTTTACTTTCTTTTTTGAGACTGGGTCCTGCTAAATTGCCCAGGCCGGCCTCAAACTCCCAATCTTCCTGCCTCAGTCTCCCAAGTGGCTGGGATTACAGATGTGAGCCACCACATCCAGCTTTCTACTTCACTTGAAGGTGTAGGGAGCCTCCCCGAAAGTCTGTAGGACACCTCCTTGCGTCCTCAAGCCCCTCAGGACACTTCAGAGTTTGCAGGAAGGCTGGCTGTGGGGGCTGACGTCCTCTGAAGCTCAGCCAGGCCTGCACCTTCCCTGGCCATTCAGACCTTCACTTCCCTGTGTCAGCTGGGCCTTCCCTAGGGACAGAGGGGTGTTAGGGGTGGTGGTGCACATTTGTCATCCCAGCAGTGTGGGAGACTGAGGCAGGAGGATCACAAGCTTGCACCCAGCCTAGGCAACTTAGTGACTTAGCAAGATCCTGTCTCAAAAAAAGGGCTGGGGGTGCAGCTCAGTGTGAAGGCCCCAGGGAGGGGAACAGGACAGGAAAGCAGGAGGGGGTGACTCTGGGAGGGTCTGTGGAGCTGTCCAGCTGCTCCACAGAAGTACGTGAAGAAACCAGTTTATTCCATAAACAAAGGAGCTGTGGTGCTGGGGCACCAGCCCCCAGTGGGTAAGGCGCCCCCTCCTGGGCTCTAGGGGCTCCACGTTTCCCGTGTCTGCCCTCAGTCAGAGGCCTCATCCTCGTCCTCGTCACCAAAGAAGAAAGTCTCCCGGTCCAGGTTCTCAGACTCCTCGTCATAGGAGAAGCTGTCGTTGTCCAGCTCATCAAACTCGTCCTGGTGCCACTCGGGCACATAGTCCTCCTCGTCATCCTCATCCTCTGCCTCCTGCACTGAGGAGCCCTGGAGCCTAGGGACAGCCACCTGCATGAGCCCAGGGACACTGCATCCCCTGCTGCCCTGTCCCCTAGGGCTCGGCTGTACTCACTGATGGCTGGGCAAGTTGGATCCCTTCGCCTCCTCGGCCACTACCACAGGATTCTGGATACCAACCCGGAAGTCCTGGTGGGAGCAGGAGAGCAGAGGACAGCAGCTTGTGCCCCAAGTGCCAGGCTCCTACCAGGAGCCCCTCTTGTCACCATGGCCCTTCAAACCACTGCCTTTGTGCCTTTTGCTTGCTGAGGATGCCAGGGGTAGGGCACACATGGGCACCCACTTTGTGCACCAGGAGCTTGTGGTGCACCCATGTTACTTACCAGTCAGGAGCCAGCCTGATGGCAGGGGTCAGAGGGCAAGTGTAATGGCAGGTATGGAGCGGAAGGAACCTTGGCAGAGTGGAAGTGACCCTCACCCCTTGGCCTGGGATTTTACATCCAGAGCTGGGGAAGCATAGTCTGACCAGCACCCAGCGAGCGGCAGGACACAGGCCTCTGCTTCCTGACATCTGGACACCTGACGCCCCCTCCACCTTCCCTCCGGGCTCCCAGGGCAGGCAGGTGGCGGGTACCTGGGTGGAGTGCTGCAGGATGGCCAGCAGCCGCTCCTGGATGCGCCGAAGCAGCTCCAAGCCTGTGCTCAGGCAGTCAGCCCGCAGGAGGCGCAGGGCGCAGGCCAGGTCCCCGCAGTGCAGCAGAGTCTCCTCTACAGGGTGAGGCACAGGGCTCGCTCCCTTGTCCCCGCTCCCCATCCTTCCTTCCACAAACACCGATGGAGCAGCTACTGAGGGTCACCTTGGCTTTAGATGTCATTCACACGGGTGCATGCCAGTGACAGTGTGCAGGCCGGGACTTCCCACCCTGGTGGCCATGAACCCACTGCAAAACCTGGCTAGGTGGCCAGCTCACCGAGGAGGATCTGTAGGGCATTGGTGTGCAGCTCCAGACTCTCGGTCTGCTGCTCCACCACGTCCATGTACTCGGTGTTCTGGCTGTAGAAGCTGTACACACAGGCATAGGCCAGCACCTAGGGAGCCAGGCACTCTTGCCACACCTTCTTGGTCATTCCTCCACCCAGCCAGGTCCCCAGGGAGCAACTGAGCCCTCCAACCCCCACCACAACCACCTTCCGCGCCTGCTCCAGGCCCTGGCATGCATCACTGAGGAAGGTGAAGGACTTGGGTGGGGGCACCTCATGGATGGCTGAGACCCGGTTCCGCAAGTTCACAGCAAACTCCTGTGGGAGGAAAGTGATTGGCACCTGCTCGACTCCCACCTGCCCCTGGCCTGGACCCTTTGGCACCCCTCCTCCCTGCTCACCCGAGCCTGGTGGTGGAAGGTGCACCGTGCATTGTAGTCCTGAAAGCGCTTCTCCTGGCGAGCTGCCCTGCTCACCTGGTGAGACAGAGACAGGGCTGCTGCCCACTTGTTCATGTAGGACAGAGTTAATCATTGGAACCCCACTGGGCACAAGACCCCGCATCCTGTACCCAGGGTCTCACCCACTCTTCCCATTGTCCCTGGCGGGTGCTGGGCAGTGAATCCTCGCTCTGCCTTGCCCTGGTACCTGCTGGTGCCTCCCCTTCCTATGGCCCCAGGAGTGGAAGCCCTGCTCTGAGGATGGAGCCCCTGGGAAGGGCTCTCAATACCAAGTCCCAGCACCTGCAGGCCCTCCTGGCTTCGGTCCTCCCCAGGATGAGCCTCTCACCCAGCTGCTATCACCCGACTACTCTGACCCCAGCTCCCTGGCAGCAGGCCCTTACCATGGCAGAGCAGTTGTAGTAGTCTTTGTGATTGGGCTTCCAGGGCTTGAGGCAGCGCCAGCAGAAGCCATGGTTACACTTGGCGCAGGTCATGCTGTGGAGGAAACTAGCCGGTCCAAGGCTGCCTGCCTCAGGGCAGGGGTGGGGCAGGACGGGCCGAGGCACCTCTGACACTGCCCCAGGCCTCGGCCTCTCCCCAGCCCTATAGTCTCCATCTCCCCAGGTCCAGCTGAATGCACCTTCTTTTTAAATTTCCCCACACAGTGTAGACTTAAAAGTAGGGGAAGGAACATTAATTTCTAGCCAGGAGAGGTGAACACATTTATTATAATCCCAGCACTTTAGGGAGGCTAAAGCAGGAGGATCACAAGTTCAAGCCTAGCCAGGAAACTTAGTGACTTAGCAAGACCCTGTCTCAAAATTTTAAACATTTAAGGTAAAGGATGTAGCTCAGTACAAAGGCCTGGGTTCATTCCCCAGAAGTCCCTGGGGGGTGCCAGACGTGCTGGGCTTTATAATCAGCCCCACTGGCTCTCCTTATCGCTGGCCTCCCCCCGCTCCCCCTCACCCGAGTCACCCAGGACCCAGTGGCCCCTGCTTACTGCAGGCACCCCTCATTCTTCTCGATGGGAGCCTGGCAGCTGGGGCAGCGCTTGGAGATGAGCTTGGCCAGGTGCTTGCTCTGTGCCTCCACGCTCATGCCATCATAGTAGCCGCCATCATCTACCCACTGCGACATGTGGCCACAGCTAGCGGGGTAGTGTGCCTAGCGCAGAAAGGGGCAGTGAGGACATAGCTGAGCCCTGACAGGCAGCCCTGCAGGTGTGGGTGGGGAGAGGAGAAGATGGGTCCATCTGGAGGACAAAAGGGGGGAGGACGGAACCCAGCAGGGAGGCAGAGGCAGAGGAAGGACACAGGGCAGAGTGTGTGTGTGTGTGTGTGTGTGTGTGTGTGTGTGTGTGTGTGTGTGGCAGGGAGGGGCTGGGCAGGAAGGAGAAGCCTTGCCCAGGGTTGGGGCAGCACCTCAGGGAAGCTACAGTTGAAGCAAGAGGCCCAGCCGCACTTGGAGCAAGCAGTGCCACAGCTCAAGCCCTGGCGGCACAGGATGCGGTCACAGCCCTGGGGGTTGGTGCACCAGGTCAGGTTGGAGCAGCTCTCTACGTAGCCTCGCAGGAGAGCTTTCTTGTACTGCAGGGCCATGGGGGACACAAAGTGAGGGCGTGGCTCTCAGGACTGCCATACCTCCAGCTCCCTGGAGCCTCCCTCAGACATGAAGGGATACCTTGGAGATGACCTCTGGCGAGGAGACAACGGCACGGATGAAGGCTCCAGTGGGCTGAGCAGGGCAGTCAGTGATGGGGCAGGTGCAGTTAAGCACAAGGTTCTGCTCGATCCGCGTCGTCAGATACTCATTCCAGCAAGACTGGAAGGCACAGGAAGAGGGGCTGCTCAGACAGGCAGCCACTGCTCCCTGGCCACGTGGAAGGCCAGGGCCACCTGCTCCTGGGTGTACCTCATAACTGACCCCAATCCTTCCAGCTGCCATTTCTGGATTGGCCCAGATCACAGTTGTCTTAGAGGCTGTGGCTCAGGTATTAGCCTAATTATCACCACTACCAGGGGACACGTAGGGAACGGGTAGAGAACAGAAGAAAGGAGAAGGACATTCTAGAAAAGACATGGAAAAAGCAGGAAGGCCAGTGAGAAAGGAGCCCCAGGAAGAGGCAGTCGCCCCACTGGGTGCTGGCCTCCCACGCTGCAGTGCCACTCTTGTCTCTCCCAAGCTTGGCCACTCCCCTCCCCTGCCCTCTATCCTCAGACTCCAAGAAACAACCTCCTCCCCACTCAGACTTTCCCACAGTGTCCTGAGCCCAGACCAATGGCACTACCATCCCCTGAGTCACCAGCACTGGTACCCTCACATCTCTCAAACTCTTCTCTAGCTCCCCCATCTCCACCTCACAGCAAATCCAGCTGTTATCCCCACCCCCAGCCTGTGGTAAGCATCCCTGATTAATGGTCACCCCAGCTCTGCTTGCTCAGCAGGCTGAGACCCCCAGAACACGCCATCAGCAGCCCTTGGCCCCCACATGCCTGTCTCCACCAGAAGGTCTCCAAAATGACAGGGGTGAGTCCCAGGAGGCCGTGTCTGTGGGTGGCATCAAGGATACAGGGTCAGTGTGAAGCCTCTGACTGGACCACTTTTACTCCAAGAAAAGGACCAGACCAAACCCTTTCTACACTGAAACACGCCCAGACAAACTGGGGCACTGAGTGCAAAATTCTTGCACTTTTTTGTTAAGGTTACTGTAAATATAGCTCAGTAGTAGAGAACTTGCCTAGCACATGTTAGGCCCTGTGTTCAAACACCAAACAACAAACTTAAAAACTCCACAGATTCTTTGAAAATTCTTGCATTTTTTGAGAAAAAACAAGGGGAAATCTCCAAGTTCAGACCCCACTCTTGCAGACATAGAGTCTCTGTGACTCATCTGGTGGCTCCACTCTTAGGGAGTCCCTCCTGGTCTGCCCCTGGGCTGCTGTCACACATCCAGCCCAAGCAGTGGGACACAGTGCTGTTGCTTGCCTCTGCCATCCTGCCTGCTAGCAAGACTCACATGGCTGCTCCTGACCCCACACTGCCCTCCTCTAACATCTCTGGAGCTGCCCTTTGGGCCATTCAACTGTGACCAGTTTGCAGGATCCCCCAGCTGAGACTTAGTCACATGTTTGGCTTCCTGTCCCTGAGTTGCTACAGGGTGGCTTAGCACCCGGCCTGCCCTTTCTCCCTGAGTGACATCAGCCGGGCCCCTGTACTTCAACCCACATTAAAACCCATCGGCCACCTGCCTGCCCCAGTGCCCAAACTTCCCATGACCACAATGAGTTGATTTTCTCAAGAACCTGCTTCCACCCTACCCTAGCCCCAATCCTCACCTTTGTAAGAATGACACATTCCGTCCACCCAGATGCTCTGGTCAGAGATGGAGAAGGCCTCATGCCTAATGCACTAGCCTCAGCAGCTCTACTCGGGCATCCAGCCTGATCTGTCCCTCTCTCGGCACCCCTGCTGCTGATCCAGACACCACCTCCTGCCTCTGTAAGACAATCCCTGACAGCCTCCCTGCTGCACCCCTCTTCCTCTAAGCTTTTTCCCCACATGATGGCCTCAGTAATCTTCCCCTGTTTCAGCCCACCATGGCTTCCTGTCTCTGACCCAGCACCCCCTGGCCCCATCACTTCCTGAGCCTCCTCTCCTGCCACATGCTGCACTTCAGCCACCAGGCTCAGCTGTTCCCTGTCCCTATCCCTCTCCAGGATCACCCCCTCAGGCCTCCCCTGACCACCCCTTGTCTGCACTTCTACACTGGTCCATCACCTCCCAAGAGGTCGCCTGCAAGTATCTCCTTCCCTCCCTTGTCACAGCTGTGTGGAGGGTGGGCCCTGGCTGTGACTGTCAAAACCCAAACACTGACTTTGGACAAATTACTTGACCTCTTAGAATCTCCACCTGTCCTTTGCAAAATGGGGAAAATAAACACCGATGCCGTGACACTGTTCCAAAGTAACACAGCTTGGCACATGAGCAGTGGTGCCTGACCCCAGGGAACCCCAGCCATGTCAGCAGCCATTAGCAGCTTGCAGATCATTTCCTGTCTGATTCTTCCACTCCGTCACATAGCACCCAGCACTGGTCACAGAGCAGGTCCACAACAGGTATTAGTTTAGTGAGAAAATGCAAGTGTAAATGGAAACAATCAAGAGCCCAGGCAGAAGGCAGCCTAAGTAAGCCCTAGGTGAGGAGAGGAGTTAGAAGCAGAGCAAAAGGCAGGAGAAAGAGCAGGGACACTCGCATGCAAATGCCACAGGGTCACCCACCACGGGGAGGCACTGTTGGGACAGCAGCTAGAACTCCAGGACTGAAGAGGCTCCTGCTGTTACATACAGCTGTGATGAGTGTGTTTGTTCTGCAGGGCTGCAGGTGGATGGCAGGCTGAGCGCCCTGTGCCGAGAGTGCACCTTCTCCCTTCGCTCCCCGCCTGTCTCTCCGGAAGCAAGACCTTCCTGTTACCTCTCAGCTGACTGCTATTTCCTGGTCTACACCGTGTGCTTCTACCTGTGCATTATATGGGAGCACAGGATAAAGAGGAGATGGTGTTCTGAGGTGATAAGGAAATCACAGCTAGAGCAGTGACTCATCGGATGAAAGCCATCACCATCCACTCCTCATACCATTCTCAACCTTGGTTGACAACCAGAATCACTGAGGAGGCTTTAAAAGTACTAACACCTGGGTTTCACTGCCAGCAATGGTGATTTCATTGGTCTGGGGGACAGGCTGGGCATCAGAACTTTCAGAAGCTGCCATGATTATAAAATGCAGCGGAATGAGACCACTGCTACCACTAGGTCCTGTCACTAACCCTGCAGAGGTAAGGCAGGTGACACCACTTACAGATGACAAAACTAGTTCAAAGGGCCTTAGAAGCTGTGTAGATCATGTGCCTAATATTCATGAATTTTTGGTGGTCATTCCCCAGCACTGAAACAAAACAACCAATGCAACATTGCCCAGGTTAGGAAGTAGCAGTGCTGGGCTGGACCCAGAGTTTTCAGGAACTGACCAGGGAGGAAAGGCAGAGCAGGAGGGCTAGGGCTCACCTTGCAGCAGGAGTGCAGACAGCAGAGGGAGGGCAGGTCGTCACCAGGCCCCAAGGGACCGACACAGACGGGGCAGAAGTCTGGTGGTGCAGGGGCTGCCTGGGGCTGGGGCACACGCAGCCCAGCTGCCAGCAGCAGCAGCTCAGGGTCATCACTGTAGCTCTGAAGCAGCTGCTCTGCACCCCAGTGGCAATGAGCCAGAAGATGGTGAGCCACATCCGGCTCTAAGTTCAGTGTCTCCTGCACCTGCCGCACCGTCTGCTCCATCAGCCCTTCCACCTCCTGTGGACTCATGGTTCGGCCTGCAGGCAACTGGAGAGACGCCAGGGCAGCCACGGCTACTGGGCTTGGGGAGGGAGAACAGACCGCAGTCAGAACCATTGCCCTGCTCAGGAGACCTCCTAACCGAGCCTCATCTGGACATCCCCTCTCGTGCCTGCCCCAGCAGCCTTCGGACAACCACCCCAACCAATGCCAGGGCAGAGCCTGCCTCAGAGGTGCTGACCAGGGTGCTGAGGGGTCTAGCGGGCAGGAGGCAGGATGCTGGGCTACCTATAGTGGGTGGGCCAGTGCTAGCAGCCTCTCTCCACAGGGCAGCCTTCGGACCAGCAGGATAGCTATCAAAGAGTGGGCTGCTCGGTGCCTGCCCTTCTCGGCCCCAGTGATACATATGCACACTGGGGCTGCAGAAGGATGGGTCGTCCTAGAGAACTCAGTCATGCACCACGCCAACAGCAGGCCATAACCACTCTGATGAAGCGGATCTGCTGTTGGAAGCTCTTGGGCTGCTGACTAACTAGGGAAAGCCTATGGTGAATTCCTCTTAGAATAAACCTTCTGAAAGTTTCTGTTTTTCACCCAGTATAGTTCAAAGTTAACAGTCCATATCCATCACATATGGGTACTTCATATTTGCTTAGAATGAGAAATATCTGTAAAGGAATCTGAGTGTCTGGGTCCTTGCCTATGGGCTGGCTCTAGGAAGATGGGGACAGCAAGACTTCTGACTGGAAGGAAAGGGGCAGTGGGGATAGTGGAAGAAAGACTAGCAAAGTAAGAGAAATACAGGGACAGGGAAAATGGGACTAGACAAAGAAAGACAGCAAGAATTTTCCCACCAGGCAGCCTGGCTCTGGCCCTCCAAACCTGCCCACCTTGTAGCAAGGGGACAGGAGGGATGGCTACCTAGGTTTAGAGGCCTCAGTGCTCTGGCTGCCACAGAAGGGGATGTCCGCCTGACCCTGGCAGGGCACCATGGGCTCAGGGGTGGCATACACCAGGATCTGGGGCTGGTTATCCTGCCGCTTCACGTAACCCTGGCCCAGGAGGTGCAGGATGCAAGAGAGGACATCTGTACTCCCAGTGACAGCATGGCCCAGGCTTCCTGGTGGATGAGGACCCCTCTGCCAGGCCTCCAACACCTGGATGGGAAGAGAAAAAGAAGTCAGCCACTTGTTACCAAAGGAGCAGCCTGCCTGGGCCCCATGTCCAGCTCTGCCACATACTGGCTATGTGGTAAGTTATGAACTTTCTTGTGCCTCCCTTTTCTTATTGTCACATGGAATAAAAGAGTAATAATTATCTGACAGGATTATTGTGAGGACTAAAGGGCCAGATCATGTGCATGATAAGCATTCTTGTTTTATCTCTCTCTTCCAACTGCCCTGTCAGTAACAGCAAATGCAGATGGAGGTCTCTTGAGACCTGACCACCCCTCTCGCTGTATTCCACCCCATCCCAAGCAGGACTCCCTCTCTCCGCTGACAGCATGAGCCCCTCTCTGCCTACCAGACAAACCAGATGATCGATGTGCAGGCCCTTTGGCCCATGGGCTTTCAGAATACGGACAAGAAGACAGCTCAGGAGGTTCCGCTTCTGTTCCAGTGTGCGGCCCTCATCCTTCTCTACATTCAGGTATGTCTGGGGAGGTATCAACCACAGCTCCTTCCTGAAGGACCAGGGCCCAGGCTCACGAAGCCGCAGCACACCTGCAACCCAGCCCCAGAGGCACACACAAGTGAGGATGAAGAGGATCCTCTAGGCTCTCGTCTCCTGCACACTAAACCCACTCTGAGGACCCTGGCCTGCAGCAGAGGGCTGGGCAGCTCGTAATGGCAATGACCTACCCCCAGGTGGCAAGTCCTGACCCTCCTGCAGGGACAAAAGTCCACTCTCAGAGGTGAGAGGCCCAAGTGCCTGGTGCAGTAGCTCTGGGGAGAAGTCGGAACTCTTCAGCAAGGTCTCTACTGACACCTCCTGGTGGGGAAAAAGGGACCCGTGAGGACTCAAGGGAGAAGGAAGGCAACTAAGAACAGAAGAGGAGGGAAAAGGAACAGAGCTTAGGATACAGAAGGTGGGAGAGACAACCTAGCAAGGCAAAGGAGATGAGCACCTCTGTCTGATTGAAATTCAGCAGCAGCCACATCTGCACAGTGGACACATGCAGAGTATGGTCCCCAAACTGCAGCTCAGCACGGCCCAGCCATGTCCACTGCAGCCGCCGATGTGGGACCACATCCAGGACTGGGTTGTTCTGACCTAAAAAGGGTCAAGGAGAAGGGTGGAGTCAGTGAGTGGGGAAAATAGGGAGTTGGGAGTGATGGAAATACAAAATATTTTAAAATCCATGAGCTTTAAAAATCCATAATGATACATATTTTTAAAAGACCTTATTGGTCATCTTTGGAGGACCCAGGGAATCAACATTATTTCTGAAATGAGTTAAAAGACCAGGAATGTGGTAAGGCATTTTTATCTGACATATATAAGGCCCTGGGTTTGAGTCCCAGCACTGAAAATAAAACAAAACAATTAGGGCTGGGGATATAGCTCAGTGCAGAAGTCCTAGGTTCAATCCCCAATAACACACACACACACACACACACACACACACACACACACACACACACACTCCTAATTAAAAGAAGAAGAGGGAAGAATCAAGCCTCTCCAGTATAAACTGTATGCTTTGGTGGGGATTTAGCTCAGTGGTTTCACCGCCTGCTGTGCAAGGGCAAGGACTCGAGTTCGATCCCTAGTACCAAAAAAAACAACAACAAAAACCCTGTACGGTTTAGAGTCAGTGAACAGTTGAAAGGAAGCTTCTCTGAATAGAGAACACATTCTAGCTAGTACAGGAGAAGGAGCCACACAGCCAGGGCACCACTCTTTCGTACTCCTGATGAGATGAGAGACATGAAGAACCAATGGGAGAGTGGGTTTTATGTAAGGTACAGTTGAGACTGGCACCCCTGAAATCCTCTGACCTGGTCCCACCTCACAGAGACACAGGTGGCTGTAACATGCCTTTCAAGGGAGGACATGATGTCACCTATGAGACTTCCCTGCCCAAGAACTCCAACTTGAATTTGAAGATACCTCTGCATCTAAGTATCAATTTTCAGGAAACAAAGGAAACGGGAGAACATGCTAGAAGGCAGCACAGGGATGCAATCGGCAAAAGCAGCTGGGGTAGCCCCACCTGGCAAACAACTCAGGTTCCCCACAAATAGCCACAAAGGGTGCAAAGAAAGGGAGACACCTGTAGATTCAAGATGTTTAAGAGATAACCAGGTGCAGCGTGTGGGCCTTGTCCGGATCCTCAGTAAACAAAATAACCCACAACCTCATGACAGCCAGGGAAATGTGAACATGGACTGTATATCCAATGATATTAGGAGTTATCTTCAACTTTTAAAGGTTGATAATGGTGGCACCCTGGTTGTTAAAAAGGAAATCCTTATGGTTTAGGTTTAGGGGGGTAGGAGAAAGTAGGTTGAGGGTCTGAATGAAATAAGACTGGCTGAGAGTTGGATATGTTGGTACACTGGAGTTTATCTATTCTGTCTATGTTTATATATGTTTGATATTTACTATAATAAAGAGTTCTTAAATGAGAGTAAAAATAGTTCATTTTCATACAAATAGAAATTGGCAAGATTTTCTACCAATACTTCCTCAATGGAGAGACTTCCAGTGGAGGTACTTTAAAGAGAAGAAACTGGCAGGGTGCAGTGGCATATGCCCGCAATCTCAGCTACTAGGGAAGCTGAGACAGGAAGACTACAAGTTTGAGGCCAGCTTGGGCAACTTGGCAAGAGCCTGTCTATGAGTGAATGAATCAATGAATGAATGACAGAGGATGTAGCTCAGTGGCAGAGCACTAGCTTAGCTGGCACTAGCCCCTGGATTCAACCCCTGACTACTGCAAAAAAAAGGAGGAGGAGGAGGAGAATAGCAACAAGAACAACAAAGAAGAAGACCAAACTTAGAAGGATCAAGATACAGAAGGAGGGGCCAGGGATTTAGCTCAGTGGTTCCGGCACCTGCCTCGCAAGCACAAGGTCCCGAGTTCGATCCCCTGTACAAAAAAAAAAAGTTAATTTATAAGATACAGAAGGAATAGTGACTAAAGCAGGTGGCATCGTGGCAAATGTAAATATCCACTGAATATAGTAATAATAATGACTAAGTTGAGCGGTTAAAAATGAGATTTTTAGGGCTGGGACTGTAAACTCAGTGGTAAAGCACTTACCTAGTGTGAAACCCAGTATGTATGAGACCCTGGGTTAAATCCCTAGTGCTGCAGTAAATGGATACATTCTAAAGTATTTACAAGGCACATGCCTAAAACATAAGGATAAGCTAAGCTCCATAGTAAAATGATGCTAGGGGTCGGGGATTTAAATCAGTGGTTCCACCACCTGCCTCACAAGCGCAAGGTCCTGAATTCAATCCCTGGTACCAAAAACAAACAAACAAACAAAAAAACTGCCCGACAGTAAAATGATGATGGGATAAATTATGAGGAACAGAATACTAGCATGGTTTTAAAGTAGTCCCTGTCACATACTGCTTATTAGTAGTAACAAAGGAAAAATATTAACTTTACATAGAGAAATCAAGCAATCTCTTGACCAGGTATCACAATTAACATCACAGTAGCAGAGAAGATGTCTGGAGAGTAAAAGCTCTAGCTTCAAAGCCCAGTCCCCCCAAAAAAAGAATCAGAAATGGAGAGGCAGATGGAAACTGTGTGCCTGAGATGAAAGACCTTGAGAAGAACATAACATCACACACTTAGTATTCCACCTGGGGTTGCTAACCTGAGTCTAATGATGAGAAAATACCACACACTTAAAAAAGGACCTATTTTATATACAGTTATTTAAAATTAACCATAATCTGCAAAATGTCTATGTCCTAAACAACAAAGGGGTACTAATTCCAGATTAAAAGAGACAAAAGGGACACAATGACAAAATGTAAGAGGGGACCCGAGTTTGGATACTCTCCTGGATGAGAAAACAAAGTCACAGAAGGCTTGATGGGTCAGCGGATAAAACCACAATATTGTAGTAGATTAAGGTACTGTGCCAATGTTAAATTTAGTGATAGGTAAACAGCTGTTATGTAAAAGACAACCTTTATTCTTAGGAAATGCGTGCTAAGGTACTTAGGTGCAAAGGACCAGAAATTTACTCTCAAGGGTTCTGAAAAAAAGTACATATAAAAAAAATACATACACACACACACACACACACAGTGGACCCTTGACTTATGAACTCAATTTGTTCACAAGGGCTGACTGTAACTCAAGTTGGTCAATGAAGGCTTAGGCTCCTCTACACAGCCTTCAAAGTCTCTCTCCTGGGCTAGGGATTTAGCTCAGTGGTTCCGCTGCCTGCCTCGCAAGCACAAGGTCCCGAGTTCGATCTCCGGTACCAAAAACACAAAGCAAAGTCTCTCTCCTGTGTACAGGCAGATCAGATCTCAGTGTCCTTAGAGAGACACTGGCCCAGGATTTCTCAACCCCACACAGGAAAGGATGTTGTAATGTTCCTTCCAGAACTCTTTAAGGGTTAAATCTATATCTGAGACCATCTGGAAGCACAAGTAGCCAGCATTTGGGTTGTAACTCAAGACTTTGTTCATAAGTTAAAACTAAAATTCTGGTCATAACCCAAGTTGTTTATATGTCAGGCCAGTCACAACTTGAGGGTCCACTGTGCTTACCATTATCCACATATATATACACGTACATGTGCACATACACTGACAGCAAGTAAGAAGAAGAAACGTTAACAAAAGGTAAACTTGGATAAAGCTTATGTGGCCCTTCTTTGCACTGTTGTTACAATTTTTCTGTAAATATGAAATTAGCTCTAAATTTTTAAAAAAAATTTTTTGTACCAGGGATCAAACAGGACCTTGCACTTGTGAGGCAGGCATGGTGCCACTGAGCTAAATCCCTGGCTAAATTTAAAAAATTTTTAAGGATAACCAAATTATATATTTCAAGTTGTTATAATGGCAAATGTTATGCTAGATATAACATTTTTTCTATAAAAAAATCTAAAAGATTAAGAACTTTCAGTGCAAAAATAGATAGAAAAAGTATACCAGGAAAATATTAACTGAAAAACAATGATATTCTATTATTACCAGAGAAACTATAAGAGGAAAGACCTCATTAGGAAGAAAGTCACCTCCTAATAATAATAAAGTTCAATTTACAATAAAGATTCTAAACCTACATAGGGCATTACAATAGTCACTAGCCACATACTATTTACATTTAAACTGGTTAAAATTAAATAAAATTAAATACTGTATTCAGGTCCTCCATTACATTAACCGCCTTTCAAGTGTGGGACAACCATATCATATTAAAGAGGATGGAAAGTAATTTTTTTCCACCATTATAGAAAGCTCTAGCAGAAAGCACTGCTGAATGATTTTAAACTTGTATCTAGGGCCGGGGATTTAGCTCAGTGGTTCCAGCACCAGCCACACATACGCAAGGTCCCGAATTTGATATCTGGTACCAAAAAAAACAAAAACAAAACAACTTGTATCTAATAACATGGCCAAAAATACATATAAGAAGCAAACTGACATGATTAGAAGGTTGTTGTGGTTTTTTAAAAAATTACTATCATATGGAGCCAACTGTGCTGGCCCACACCTGGAATCCTGAAGCTGAGGAAGGAAGGTCACAAGTTTGAGTCCAGCCTGAGCAACTTACCAACTTAGCAAGACCCTGCCTCCAAGTGAAAAACCAAAAAATAAAAAAGGGGTGGGGATGTAGCTTAGTGCAAAGGTTCTAGGTTCAATCCCCAATATTGCAAAAAAAAAAAAAAAAATAGATTTTAACACATCTCTTTCAGTAGATGAAGCAGACAAAAATTAGTAAGGTTACAGCTGGGAGTTGTGGTAATCCCACACCTGTAATCCCAGAACTCGGGATCACTGTGAGTTTGGGGCTAGCCTGAACTACAAAGCGAGGCCCTATCTCAAAAAAACAAAAAACAAAACCCAACTAAACCAAAACAAAAAATATTCATACGATGTAATATAACTCAGCATACAAAGAACAAACTAATGACTCAGCTGTCCACTTGATAATTCTAACTATATTGTATGCAATAAATCAGATGCAACAGAGTATACTCTCCGATTCCATTTATATGATGTACAAACAGGCAAAAATCAAAGGCAATGAAAGGAAGAATAACAGTGGGGAAAGATGGAGACCAGAAAAGGTTCAGAAAGGAGGAAGGCTTTGGGGTGATGGAAACACATCATGTCTTGATCTGGGGGTGGGTTGTGTATGGGTATAACCATTCTCTAAGCCTTACAACTGAGGCTGTACATTTCACTGAATACTCATTAGATCCCAGTAAATTTATGTGAGTGTGTGAGTGTGTGAGTGTGTGTGTGTGTGTGTGTGTGTGTGTGTGTGTGTGGTACTGGGAGTTGAACCCAGGGCCTCTCCACTGAGCTACATCTGGAGCCTGTTTTTAATTTTTTTAAATTTTGAAACAGGGTCTTACTAAGTCATTAAATTGCCCTGGCTGGGCCTCTACCTCCCTTCCTCCTTCTTCTTTTCCTTCTTTCCTTCCTTTGCCATACTGGGGAAAAATATTTTTAAAAAAACTATAGGTTGCAGCTAAAACAGTATTGAGAGAGAAAAGAATAGCCTTTAATACTTGTGTATGATCGGGTATGTGTGTGTGTGGTGGGGTATGAACTGGGGAATGAACCCAGGACTTTCACACTGAGCTGCATCGCCAGTTTTTTGTTGCTGTTCATTTTTTGGTTTTTGAGACAGGGTCTCACTAAGTTACAAACTTTTGCAGGCTGGGCTCGAAATTGTGATCCTCCTGCCCTAGCCTCCCAGAGTGCTGGGATTATAGGCATGTGTCCAGCTGCCTTAAATACTTTGAATTGGGAAGACATTGCAAAAGACTGAAATTAAGCTTACAACCTGTAGAAAAAAAAAAGAGCAAACTCATAGGAAGTTGTACGAACTCATGGGAGCAGAAATGAATGAACACAAGACCTACACTCTGGATCCTTCCCTAAGAGATTGTTGTACTATTACTCATCCACACACTCTTGTCTAATGGTCTGCTGCCCTTCCTCTCTTGCCACCCCAAGTCACCCAGTCTCCAGTTCCCTCTCTTAGAGCCTCACTCTGGCTGTAGAACCTGGAGAAGCAGTCTAGGGCATCACAGAGTTCCGGGGTAAGGCACTTTCTGGGCTGGTGCAGGTAGCAGAGCGGGGACACTGGCCAGCAGCGTGGGGACAGGACCAGGATGGAGACTGCTGGGCTTGGATCATCTATAAACAGTGCTTTCCTGGCCTCTTCTTCCTGTTCTTTCTCCTGGGAAACAGAAGGATTTTGAGGGCCTGGGGGCTCCCCTCTAGAGTCAAGTTTTCTCTTCTCTTCTACCCTCTCTCCCCTTGCTACTACCTCCTCTTCCTCAAGGCCCTGCTCCTCCTCGTCCCCCTGCTCCAAGAGCAACCAGTCGAGCTGCTGGAGCTGGGACAGGTGGAACTGGCGCTGCAGCTCCTCTGAGGTGCGAAGGCTCTGCAACATCAACTGGGGGAGGCGGTTGGGGAAGCAGGGGCCAATCTGCTCCAGGATAGCCTCCTCCAGCCAGCTGGAGCCCAAGTTCAAGAGACGGTCAGCCATGTAGTGCCTGCAACACAGGCCTGGCCTCAGTGCAGGTGCCATGTTGGCCCAGTCCAACTGCCCTGCCAGAAGGCAGGTTCCTGAGTTTGTCACAGACCCACCTCACCCCTTCCCTCCTCCTTTTTCTAACAGTACATGGCACTCTGCATCCCGCCTCTCCTCCCCAGTGCCTCCTCCTGAATGTCCATTCTCAGCCTCCTGTACTCCAGCCTCCCCTCCCCTGCCTCCCCAGGCCTGCACTCACTGATAGAAGTGCTCAAAAGTCGTTGCCAGCTCCAGGCCCGAAAGGACCATGATGGGCTCTAGGTGCTGCTGAAGCCACCGCAGCATCTCCATGCCTCGGGCTCCTCCAAGCAGGCCACCCTGGATCTGCTGGTCAATGTGCCTGGCAAACTGCTCACTCACCTGGGAACAATAGGCAGGGCACTGGGCAAGCCATGAATGAGGGATGGAGTGGGAAGGTGGGGAGTGAGAGGAGGTTAGGGCAGAGGAGGAGACCCCTGGGCTCGGACTCACATGGGCGGCAGTGAGGAAGGACTGCTGCAGCAGGGCGCCAGAGACGCCACTGTGCAGAGCCAGTGTGAAGGCCGCCCGAGGCCCAAAGAGCTCTGTGCCTGCTCTCTGCAAGTGCTCATAGAGTTTGCAGTACCGAGGCACAAAGTCAGGGACTCTCCAGGCTGCAGCCAGGAACCTGCTGACCTGGAGAGGAAGAGCCAGGTGACATAAAAGGCAGACCCTACCCCCCAACCTCTGTCTGCTGCTGCCCACCTGCGCCTGCACCACGTTCAGCCAGCACTGGGTGATGTTCCTCAGGTTGCTGCTTGCAGAAACTGTTGGAGGCACAGGGCTTGGGTCACGCCCCTTACTATTCTTGCTGACTGTGGAGACAGGGCACAAAGCAAGGGGTTGCAACCAACCCTCAAGTGAGTCCAGGAGTCTCTGGTGCTCACTCACAGATAAGCCAATGGCCCCAGGGGTCTAGAAAGGCAGCAGAAGGAGCCCAGATTCTCATCTCTGTGGGTCATGGCTGGGACTCACAGGGCCGAGCGGGTGGCTCAGGAGAAGGTCCCAGAGGAGGCTCCACGTGCACCAGCAAGTGGCAAAGTCGCCGAACTTGAGAGGTGAAGGATGCTGCTTGACTCAGGGGGCCCCGAGGGCCCTCTCTGCACTCCAGGTACTGATCAAGCAGCCATCCCAGGGAGCTCACACCTTTGGCATCTGCAAGAAGACAGCCAGAAACAGGTGTCCATAGGCAATAAGGGAAGAAACAGCTAGGGAAGAGGGAGAAAGAGCAATTGTACAAAAAGGTTTCAGGGTGGCAGAGCCCTAGCTCCCCTCTCATCGATGTCTGCTTCAGCTGAAGACTGGGGACATGGTAACAGAGTGGGGTGGGGTAGAGAGGAAGATTCAAATACCAGAGTCTCAGGGAACAGTCCCTGGGGTGGTAAGCTGAGAGGAGCACTGAGGTGACAGACTTCGGGAAAGACACAGGAACCAAGAGAACCAAAAATGTTAACTCAAGGGACCCTGGTAACAATCTCAAGAAGTGGCCATCAGGGCCAGGGCCAGGATGTTACCAGGAGAGGTGATGTTCTGCACCAAGGGGCTGACCAAGGCCTCCCAGCAGGTCTTTCCCAGTGCCCGAGCAGCCTCCTCGTCAGGGAGGAAGCGATTGGCAAAATTCTGTTCATGGCGCAAAACCTTGTTCAATCTGGGAACAAAGAGTGGATGGTCAAGGAATCAAGCCACAGATTTCCCTAAGGCCCCCACCTAGGTGCCAGACATCCCCCACTTGCCCCGTGCCTGGTCCTCCCAGCTCTCCCTTGTCAGCACACACAGCCCACCTATGTTCACAGCCTGAGGCCTGGCTGAAAGCTGTGCCTGCCAGACGCCGTGGGACTACATCTCCTGGCACGGTGCCTCAGTGCCCTACTGGCCTAAGCATCTTCCTCCCTAGTGCCCCACCCACCTGGGACAGAGCTGGAGGAGGCGCCTGTGATCCTCTGCTATGTCCTGGCTCCAGGCTTGGGCCCGAATTGTGTAGAAGAGATAGGTACGGCGACACAGCTGCTCCCGGAACAGTGGCCAGAAAGTGGGCTTGGGGCCCAGGACCTCCACACCCCGAACCCGGGTGTCAATGCCACCCTGCAATACACATAGACTCATCTGCCACCTAAGCCACTGGAGCCACTGTGTACTACCAAGGCCAGGCCTCATGCCCTGATCCTTCAAGCTTCCCAGGACACCTCTGCATATCTGGTCTCAACAGGTTTCCAGAGCACCTCTCAAGCAGACTAAGGAGGGGTGGAGGACAGCCCATGCCAAAGAAGTCAGCCTAGCCACTCAGAGCCACAGTGCCACCTCTTGACCCTCAGCTCATCTCTCCCCAGCCCCACCTGCTGGCAGCGCTTTATTCGGATCTGGATGATGGGCCAAAAGCGGGTCAGGTTCTCTAGGAGAGTCACCCGGCTGGCAGAGGGCATCACGTTCACCTGGCAGGGCCAGAGAGAAGACACAGAGCCATCATCAACAGCAGCAGGGCCAGAAGGCCAAATGACAGCACCCCAATGTTTATGGTATGTGGCCTTCTCCTTGGCCCAAGGATCCACACTGCTCCTTATTCCCAGTCCCATTCTCAGTGTGCAAGGCTGGCCCCCTAGAAGGAAGGAGGGGAAGGCTACCCACCGTATTGAGCTCAGTACTGATGCTGCTGGGGCTGTCACCCCCAAACACCACCACTCTGGCTGGCATGTAACTAGAGTCCTCACTGGCCACCAGCAGAGTCAGCTGCCTGAGAGACGAGAAAGCTATCAGCCAAAGCCAGGACCTGGTCTGAGTTCAACCTCAAACCTCAGTTCAGTCAACCCCTCCTTCTGGAAGGAAGTCTCCAACCCTCCATCAGCCTCAGGATACCTATCAGCCTTTTGCTTTTTCTTCTCTTCTTTTTTAAAGATGTTTCCCAGGCTGGCCTTGAACTTCTAGGCTTGAGATCCTCCTGCCTTAGCCTCCCTACTTGGGAGAACATCAGGTGTGCGCCATGCCCAGCCCAAGTTTTTTTTTTTCTTTGAGACACGGTCTCACTATGTAGCCAGGCTGGCCTCAAACTCACAGCAATCCTCCTGCCTCAGCCTCCCGAGTGCTGGGATTACAGGCATGTGCCACCATGCCAGGGCTGTGAACTGATTTTCTAGCTTGGCTCCCTAACTAGACTGCAAGTTCCCTGAATTCAGGAACCATATTTTAGTGTCCTGGTATCTCCAGACCTGTGTACAGTGCCAGGCACAAATTCTTGGCATTTAAACAAATACCCACAGGAAGACTGGGTGAGTTACTGATCTCCCTTAACACTAGCACAGGTAGAGATTTCTGTACTTGCTGGGGTACAGCTCACTAGGCCCAGGGAGTGAGAGGTATCTACAGGCCACATAGCACACAGGACAATTGTCTAGCTGTCCATGGCCCAGATGGATTCAAACACAACCCTCAGAAACAGGGGTTACAGATGGAGCTGTATACATGTGGGTGCCTGAGGATGTGATGAGCACATCAGATTATTCCTGTGGGCATGTATGCGAGTGCATGCACATGGGTGTGTCCATACCTAACAAGAACACCTCGGTGCATGTACAAGGTGATGTGGTGGGACCCGGTGCTGCCATTGGACTCCCAGTAGGTCTTGGGGTTGCGGTCCATCAGCTTGCTGGCCCGGTGTGGGTTGGAGGACACCTCCACCTTCTCCCAGCACTTGTCCTCCTTCACATCCACGCTGGAGCCTGGGGCAGGCAGGAAGGGGTGCAGGCCACAGGCTGGTCAGTTGAGACAGAAATAAGGAAAAGGTCTAGGGGGCAGGAAGGGAAGGGAAGAGCAGATGCCGGTGGAAGCCAGGAGACAGCAGAGCAGGGCACTAACCCTGGCAGAGATGCCTGAGGAACACATCAAAGAAAGGGATGTTGATAGGCCTGTGGGTTCGCCTGTGGTCTTCGATCTGGCCCAGCACCATCTGCAGTCCAAACATCAGGGAGAAGGGGAGGAGCATGGAGGGAAGAACACAGAGAAACACACAGAACATACACAGAGAAAAGGTCAAGCAGCAATGGAACACTCAGCCTCTTTCTGCCCCAACTGCTGCAGATTTTCTGCCAGTTCTGCCAAATAGGGATCCCAAAAGAGACACGTGGGACACCCTTCCATTGTTCCCAGCCCACATCCTCAGCTCTGCATCAACATGCCCTCCTCACCTGGATGCAGCCAGCCAGGATGCTGGAGGTGAGGCTGCCATAGAGCTGGGCATACTTCTCACAGTCTGTCACCAGGTCTCCAAGCTCAGCAGCCAGTGGTAGCTGAGCTGAGTGCTTGTCCAGGACTTTGGAGAGGGCCTCCTTGGCACCCAGGCAGCAGAGCAGCACCGCATAATCCTTATGCATTGAAGCCAAGCGATGCAGGAAGCAGGTCAGCTCCTGAACAATCTGTGCCAGAGCCGCATAGATTATTTTATGGGGAAAAAGCAGAGGCAAGTAAGGGTTGAGGGCTATGTGGTGGCTGAGATTTTGAACAAATGTGAAAGCCCAAGGAAAGGAGAACACCAAGTCAGAGTACAGCAGAACACAGGGTACTGAGACACAAGAGACAGCTGGCAGCAGCAGAGCTTGGGCAGTTTTTCAGCCTCTTCCTGCCAGGGCCATGCCACACCAAGAGCCAGCCTTGGCGCCCAAGCCTCCTCCATGGTGCCCAAATCCTCACTGGTGGAAAGCAAAGGCTGTTGGGATTGGTAAGAGTGTGCTTAAGAGAAGCCCGGAGTCTAAAATCCAGGTGCAGACACTAGGTTAATGCTTCCAAGACCCCAGTTTCAGAGATTCTTTTTTTCTTGAGATAGGGTCTCACTATTTAGTTCAGCCAGGCCTTGAACTCACTATGTAGCCCAGGCTGTCCTCAAACTTCCCGTGATCCTCCTGCCTTAGCCTCCCAAGTGCTAGGCTTACAGGTGTGTGCCACCACGCCCGGCTTCAGAGGCTTTTAGATGACATCAGCCTTTCTCTCCCTACCCCCTATCCAGTGCCCTCATTTGTAAAGGCTGTGCTGTACCCTTGAGCCTCAAGAGGCAGGTAGGACCCCAGCTGCTGCTTCTTCCTCCTCCACCCCTACCAGGACACTGATACCTCCAAGTCACTGCCAGGGCCATTCAGACAGTTGAGGCAGGGCTCCAAGACTTCGTGCCAGGGGAGGATCATGGCCTCAGGGTAATCCAGCAGTTGGGTCAGGACTCTGGTGAGGGGATGTAAACAAGTGAAGTCCCCACGGTCCCCTCATTCCAAGTGCATGGGTGCCTGGGCAGGCCCCTCACCTCAGCACGGTCAGCAGCACAGTTTTGTTGGGCCCAGGGGCATCCAGAGTCCGAAGCAACAGCAGGAAGGGCTGGGTCTCCTGCTGGAGGCACTTGAGGAGGGACCTCACAGCACTCCCCGAGCCACCCTCATGGCACAGCACCCGCTCCAGGTCCAAGAGCAGTTCCGCAGATGGACCTCCCACCAGGGACTGAATCAGCAGCTCAGGGGTTCCATCCTGGCCCTGGCCACAGGGGATCTCCAGCGCTGAAGCTTGATGGGCTGGAGGAAGAAGTGTACATGAAGGGAAGTCTTACAAGGTGCTCAAACTGAGAAACAAGTCCAGAAAATCAGCCCCAAATTTTCTTCCCATATTGAGGATGTCTATGGTTTTTATCAAACTATGAGAGATTTTTGGTTTTTGGTTCCCAATATAGACCTGACTACATTTGAAAACAAATCTAGTAAACACTGTCAAGTTAAATACAACACATTTTTACTATCATAGACAATTACCTTTTATTATTAAATATTAGCTACAATAACTACTAGCTGGTATAATTATATTCTAAACAGCCTACTATAGATAGTGGCTATGCATGCTAAAAGATATATACCATATTGCTTATCTCAATATCCATCCATACTTCTGGGTTTTCACTTGTTCTTTTATTTTTTTTTTTTTTTCAATGCCAGGGATTGAACTCAGGACCTTGCACTTACAAGGCAGGCACAGAGCCACTGAGCTAAATCCCTGGCCCTTCACTTGTTTTTTAAAACACAAAAGATTTCTTTTCTTCAACACCAGTATTTCATGTTTCTAGTCACAAACTTTCCGTAGCATAAATTACAATTTATTGACAGAAATCCTCCCTACATGTTAACTCAACCAATTTTCTACTTTCCACTAAGATTAGACCAACCTAACCAACACTAATGGCCATCCACCTATGTTTAAGGCCATTCAGAGAAGGCAATTTCCTGGCACCTATGTAGAGTCTCCTCCTTTTTGTCAGGAAATTCTACAAAAGACCTAACTTGAATACCAAAACCCTCACTCATTACCTGAGGGCTCCTCATGTCTTTTTTTTTTTTTTTGGTACTGGGGATTGAACTCAGGTCCTTGTGCTTGCAAGGCAGGCAGCGGAACCACTGAGCTAAATCCCTGGCCCTCCTCATGTCTTTCTGTAAGGGGCTAGGACATAAGCCTTGCCCTCCTGGCCAGCAGCTGACTCTGCAGGACTCAGAAGAACTCCTGCCACACACACACACACACACACACACACACACAATGGTACCTGCATGCTCAGGACTGCCCGGTGGCTCTGAGTAGCGGCTGAGAAGCATCATGAGGATGGTGCGTGCGGTGGGCATGGGTTCTGTCCCTGGTGCTATTTCTGCGTGTCTAAACAAAGTGTCTCTTAGTTCACGGGTTATAAGCTGGTCTCCCAGAGTGTGATGGTTACACAAAAGCATGTTGAGCAGGAGCAGGCCATTTCTCACTGCTGAGGAGCACCTGGGAGGAGGGAGATGACCCAGGGAGAAATGACAGTGAATACAAGGAAGCAGGCAGGTGTGGAATGTGGATGGGGGGAGAGGGCTCCAGTGGTCCCTCTGAGGCAGGACCCCTTACCCCAGACACTCAGGAAGGAAGGGCAGAACTCACTCTGGCACTCTCCCTACCCCCAACCACTTGGCCTTGCTTTCAGTGACGTTCAGAGAAGTCCACCCATGTTTAATTCAGACATGACAATGTAAGGAAATTTCTGGGCCACGAAGTCGGGTGTGGGGCTTAGCTAGAGCCTGGAGTTTGAAAGGCAATGTCCTGACCCCTTGGTATTCAGCATTAGAACCACTGCTGCAGGGATAGTAAGAAGCAGGCTCTCGGAGCCCGGGCATGTGGCTGAGTCAATGCTGGCAAAGATCTCTCTGGTCATCTGGGCATCAAACAAAGGCTGGACAGAATCTTGGCCAGAACCAAAAGTAGGAATCTCCGAGGAGCTGGCAATGGCCAGCATCTTCAGTGCCTGTGGGGGGGATATGGAAGCTTAGTTAGGAGTAGACAGAGCTGCCATGAGGCAGGTGAGGGGCAGGGCCATTGTTCTACGCCACAAGCTTTGGGGCAGCTGAACTGTCTGCAAATAGGTAGCCAAGGAGATGGAAGTGGAGGAGGTAGTGAGCAAAGGCTATGGAGGAAGGGAGGGAAAGGGAGGAAAGAGGGAAAGGAAGGGGAGGAGAGAGGAGGGGAGGGAACAAACAGAACAACCTAAGCCTGGATGATAAATCAGCGCACTGGTTCTCTGTCCCCAGACTTCCAGCACTAAGGTTACTGAGCTGGCCTGGCCACCCCTTCCCAAATCCTCCCCTGGGGTGATACTGTCTCTCAGTCTCTCACTTGCTGTCTTTCCTTGAAGCCATCTCCCATCTCAGCTGACCACTCCTTCCCTGGCAAAACCTGTCCCCTGAGTTCCACAGCTTCATAGCCTCCTGGTTTTCCTTCTACCTCTTTCTCTTCTGCCTGGTCCTCACACTGCAGGTCCTGGTCCCCCTTCTCTTCTCACTCTGTGCTCCCTCCCACCTACATGCCAACACTCCCAAACTCTGCCCTGTGGCCTTAGTTTGTGCCCGGCCCTTCTTGACAAGGCTACTCTCAGGGAGAGTGGCAGGAATTATAGGAAAAGTACTTGTGATGTGAAAGCTTAGTAGTGATACTACAGAGAGAAGTTAAGTTAAAATGAACACTACACCAGTAGAGCAGAGGATGTTTCTGCTGGTGAAACCACTGGCTCTTTGGAAGAAACCCACTAAGGAGGGACTGGGCCAGCACTACTTCTCAGTACAATCCCCCTTCTGAGGCCACGGTCCTCCCAGTGAATGCCACCAGGTAATGAAGCTTTCTCCCTTTCTCCCACTCTGCCCAAATTAGGTGAATTCTGTAGACCTCAAATTATGAACAAGATGATGTAATATTATGGGCAAGAGTTTGAATTCAGGGGTAAGTGTTGTACAATTTGAGAGGATCAAGGAATATATCTGACTCCTCTTGTGGCCACTGTACTGTTGGCATCCAGTCTCAGAAGTGCTTTGGCTGAAGCCCATTTGTCCCCCTGAGGAGCCATCATGCTATACAGTCACACTGTCCTCGCCACCCTCAAGGGCTTCTATCCCAAGTAGTCAGAAAGCCAACTCTGTAAGCTCCCCTAGACAACTGCCTCCCTTCCCTTTGCTCCGAGCCCAGGCTGGCAGGGAATAGCAAAGCTGCCTTTGATTTACTCCAATCATTTACCCAAATTATTTGTTTAGAATACTAGTCTTTAACCAGACACCTAACTGCAACTATAAAAGGCACGGGACACTCAATATACCTAAAACCTCAGCTCCTGATCTTCCCTCCATACCACTGCTTCTTGAAAGTTCATCTCACTTAGCAGCAGCCTTATGATGTAACCTGCTGCTCCATTTTAAACCTGAGCACTGTTCTCAAAAACTCTCTTCTCCTTTTCTCCAATCACATACTCAATCCCCAAGACTGTCTGGACTGCACTTTTAAATCCTTCTGCATCTTTCCAGTCCAATGTCTACACCCTGGTCTAAGTCACCACTTTTCCTGAAGACCAGCACTCCCCCAACCTGCCTGTCTTGCCCCTCACTTTCCCACTGGGCCCAGTGCACTCACCGCCAGCCCTGCCTGCTGCACCAAGACGGAAGTCTTATATTCTTGCATGCAAACCAGCACAGCGTAGATGCCACCCTCCCTAGCAAAGAGTGGGCGCCACTCATGCTTGTTCATAAGCAGGTAAAGGAGGCGCAGGGCCAGTGCCACCACCATCTTCTTTCTCACATGGTTGGTCAGCAACTCTACCAGTGTCTTCACTAGCTTCTCCCTGAGAAGAGACGAGACCCTGGGATTCCTCATCCCAAATAACCTTGCCCAACTACTGGGCCATGACACCAGCTACCTCCTGCAGAGGCCCCTCACCCATCGAGATGCAGTCTGCACTCTCCAGCCTGTTCTCCTTGCCTCAGTCTCACTTTGGGTCCCCTCCCCTCTGTAGTCTAACTGGCCCCAACAGAGGCAGTGGGGAAAAGTGATTACAAACTCTGGCTTATCATTTCAAATGAATTCAGTGCAATTCTATGCAAAATGCCTTTAAAGTGTTTTAAAATGATAGACAGATTGAGAAAGAGAAAGAAAATATACAAGAATAGACAAGGAATGTTTGGGGGAAAAAAACAATAGTTTTGCCTATAGTCATCCAAGTGTAATTATAAACATAATAATTAAAACTCTAGCCAGGTGGGGTGGTACACGCCTGTAATCCCAGCCCTGGGGAGGCCAGGGCAAAAGAATTGTAGCAGCTTCAAAGCCAGCCTGGGCTACACAGCAAGACTCTCTCAATCAATCAATCAGTAAGTAAAACAAAATCTGGAACTGATACAGAATAAGCAAACAGAATAATAGATGACTAGAGAGAAAAGGTGGCATCTCTTGCCACCCTTGAAAGGATGGCACCTTTGAAAGGATGGACTGTTTCAAAACTGATGTTGGCCAGACACATAGCTCAGAGAAAGTGTTTAGCATGTGTAAGATCCTAGCTTCAATCCCCAGCAACAACCCCCTCTCCAAAAATGTGAAGCTGAGACACCTGGCTATCCACTTGAACAAACTGGAGTTGAAGCTCTACTTCAAACCACTGCAAATAGATTTTTAGATGAATATAAAAAACCAAAAAATCATACATCTTTTTAGAAAACTTAAGAAAATATTTTTGTTTTGTTTTGTTTTGTCTTTGGTACCGGGGATCAAACTCGGGTCTTTGAGCTTGCACAGCAGGTGGCGAAACCACTGAGCTAAATCCCCGGCCCGAGAAAATATTTTTATAATCCTGGTATAAAATAAACCTTAATAGGATACAAAATCTAGAAGCAAAAAAAATTTTGTTTTTGTGTTTTGGGGTTTTTTGAGACCAGATCTCAACATGTAACCCAGGCTGGCCTTGGACTTACTATGTAGCCCAGGCTGGCCTCAAACTCATTACAATCTTCCTGCCTCAGCCTCCCGAGTGCTGGGATTACAGGTGTGCACCACCATGTCTGGCTTCATAAAAATGTTTAAAATTATAGTAACATAAAAACTTTAAACTTTAGCACAATGAAAGACACTATAAACAAAACTTAGACATATAACATGAGCTAGAAAAAAAGGTTGACTAGAAATGCTGATATGAAGGAAAAGGAAGGACCCCAGAGCTCCAAGCTCACAGTGAGGGCCACAAGAGGCAAAAGAACCCCAAGTAGGGGGCCGGGGATGTAGCTCAGTGGTGCTGTGCCTGCCAGGCAAGTGCAAGGTCCTGAGTTTGAGTCCCAGTACAGAGAAAAAAAAAGAATAAAATATTTAAAGAAGAATTAAATACATCAAATATGCCCAACTTCATCAGAATGCAGAAAACGGAGACACCAATCATATAAAATTTTGTCAGTCTGACTAAAAAAATGATAATATCCAGTGTTGGCAGAGGTAGGGAAAACATCTATTAGAATAGTGTACTTGGTTGTAGCCAATTCACAGAGTTCCACACAGCAATGAAAATAATGAGCAGCTCCTTGTGGACTGACATGGAAATCCCTCTGAGATGCACTGAGTGGGGACACAAAAAAGTCACAAAAGCAAGTACAGGGCCGGGGATTTAGCTCAGTGGTTTCACCACCTGCTGCGCAAGCGCAAGGACCTGAGTTCCATCCCCGGTACTAAAAAAAAAAGCAAGTACAGTGTGATTACATATATTAAAACACAAATTCAGCCAGGTATAGTGGCATGCACTGATAATCTCAGCACTCTGCGAGGCTAAGGCAGGAAGATTACAAGTTTGAGCCCAGCTTTTACAACTTACAGACTTAATGAGATCCTGTCTCAAAGTAATAAAATAAACAAAAAAGCTGAGGCTATAGCTCAGTGTGAAAGCCCTGGGTTTAATAGCTCTCGGTACCACAAAAACAAACGGGTCCAGGGATTTAGCTCAGTGGCACCACAGCTGCCTGGCAAGTGAAAGGTCCTGAGTTCGATCCCAGTACCAAATAAAACTCAGGAAATGCTCTATTTCCACTTGAATAATATGTATGATTTTTGTTTTTATATACCAGCTAAAGAAATTTAAAATTTAGAAATACTTTTAAAATGCTCTATTTCCAAAACTACAATTACAAATTAAATTTGGAGATGGTCTGAAAGATGCACCAGACTGATAACTGGTGAGAAGGTACCTGAGCTTTTTGTTCTATTTTGTTTTATATCTTTCAGATCTCTTTAAGAATGCATTTCTGTTGTAGTATTTGTATAATTAAGAAGTGCAGTGCTCGCTTCGGCAGCACATATACTAAAATTGGAACGATACAGAGAAGATTAGCATGGCCCCTGCGCAAGGATGACACGCAAATTCGTGAAGCGTTCCATATTTTTTGGTGAAAGCTGGCTGATGAAATTATTTTGTCTTACAATTCAGGGAATATATTTATATTTTTCTATGAAAAAAAAAAAAAGTACAGGCCGGGGATTTAGCTCAGTGGTTCCACTGCCTGCCCCACAAGCACAAGGACCCGAGTTTGATCCCCAGTAACAAAAAAAAAAGAAGTACAGAGCAGGGGCCGAGGATTTAGCTCAGTGGTTCCGGCACCTGCCTTGTAAGCGCAAGGTCCCAAGTTCAATCCCCAGTACCAAAAAAAAAAAAAAAAAAAGTACAGAGTAGGCATCCATGAAGGCATTTGCCTATAATCCTGGCATTCTGGGAGGCTGAGGCAAGATGATTTCAAG